CGCCTGCGTGTCCATTTTGACATAAAGCAGCGAGATACGGTACAGATATGGCAATTAATCCCCTGCATGTCCGTGCGTGTGCGTGCGCGTGCGCGTGCGCGTGCACATGTGTGTATGTGTGTATGGGGTGGGGGCCTAAATAGAGTGGTATGTGCGCGTGCGCGCACACATGTGTGTATGTGTGTATAGGGTGTGGTCTAAATAGAGCGGTGCGTGCGCTTGTGCGTGCGCTTGTGCGTGCGTGCGTGCGTGCGTGCGTGCGTGCGTGCTCGTTTCGGCTTACCATCAGCACGAAGCTGCGAGCGAGCACTGTGGCCATCACGCGCTGACGGGGCGAGGCCTGATTACGTCATACTCTCTCTCTTTCCCTCTCAGCTTCTCTACCTCCGACTCTTCCTCGTTCGCTCGCAAGTGCTTTATCAGAATGGACAATGCATGTAAAACGTGAGTCACGAAAAAAACACTGTTATAATGGGATCAATACTATAATATTATCTGCATAACGGCGATTAGTTTTAAGGCTTTTTTTAGGCCTCTTATTTTTACGTTGCCTTCAACTCCTTCAGGCGAATTTCTCGTTATTATTTAGTTCAGCATAGATGTTAAAAAGGCGAGGAACTGAATGGATCTCTGTATTGCTATCTGCCTAATTGTGAACCAGCCAGTCGTTCTATAAGTTGTTCTTTTAGGTGCGTTTTGTTGATGTCGAGGTTTCGTATATCATTCCATTTCTCTCATTCCTGTTCACGGCTCTTATTGAATAAATGTTTCAGTGTTTTTTTTGTAGTCGATGAAACACAAAGAAGGCTATAACAAATGTTTACTACTGCATAATATCCCTATTATCTACTCCTGATAATATCTAATCAGTATACGGAATAATATTTCGCATCATGTAGGCCTACACGTGTACGTACGCATTTAACTACCAATGCGGTTACAACTAATGTAATGGCGAAGGCTTTAGATCAACTGATACTGTTTTACAAGGGGAGCGATTATTTACAACACCGAAAAACACAAACAACTTTAAGAAGCTATAATTTAGAGAAAGGCTAATGTGTCTGAAAAGCGCCGTTGGATCTCTGAGCGTTAATGCTTGCGCGCTAACTTGCACGGCCAGCGTACAAAATCGCAGTGTGTGTCCAGCTGTACGCGCAACTCGTACGACGTTCTAAAATCGTGAGCGAAAATATACGCTGCCGTGCAGCGTACAGAATCGCTAGTGTGTCCTAGGCTTTACGAACGTCTGCGAAAGTCGCCGCCGAGACTGTTAAAAACACCACGTGCTATGACTGTCTGGCTTGCTTCAGCATGACTCACTACTACTCTGTCGGTATATGTTAGCTTACGGCGTGAAACTCTATCATTTACCGCACTATGATGTGTATATATATATATATATATATATA